GAGGGTGATTACTCCCCAGCCCCTCCCGTGGCCCCGCAGTGCTCCCCTGACAGGACTCAGGTCCTCCCCGTGGCCTTCTGTGGGCTCCGGGGCTGCCTGGCCATCCCCCGCCTGCCTCTCCGCAGTCCCCTGGGGTCTCTTCCCCTCACCATCCGGTGCCTTTCGTCTCCTTCTCATGTCTAAGCCTTTGTAGGGGGCCTCCTCTGCCTGGCACGCCCTCCCCACCCCCACCCTCTTTGCCCAGCTGACCCTTTGTCCTCCACTCTCCGTTCAAGCATGATTTTCCCGTGGAAGACTTCCCTGACTCCTCCCTGTGCGGTCACAGCTCTTCCTCATTCTCCATAGTCCTGTGCATATGTTTCTAGACACTTTTTCTACTTGGCAGTAATCACAGTTTGTAGCCATATGTCTGTGTGAGTATCGACCAAAGTGAGCTGCCCTTTCTAGTTTGGAAAGCGGGGTCTGTCTTAGTCATCACTGTATCCTCTGTTGTTTTTTTTCCAAACATCACCTGGTACAGAGTAAACACTTCATCCGTATTTGTTTAATGAGTGATTATATAGGTAGAAGTGTCCCAGCCTCCTCAGGAAATGACCAACGTCAGGCATCGGTGAGAGTGACAAGGTAGACCTACCTCACCTCCCTCCCCGATGGAGAAAGCAAGGGGGTTGCTGGAGGGGCAGGGACAGCGGGAGGGATCATAGGTCAGGGCACACGCCCGGGGAGGTGGCTCTTTCCAGCTCGCCGTCCTCCACTAGGAGTTTCTGGGTCACCAAGACAGCCTGGACCCTCTCCCAGACTTGGCCCATGGGTGCTGTGGTTGACTTTCAGAAAGCCAAAGAAGGATGCAGCAAGTCTTCTTCCTAAAAGATGGCTTGGATCCCCGCAGGGCTCTCTGTGCTTGGAGAACGTGAACCTGTCCTCAGGGAGCTAGGCTTCCAAGGACCCCGGTGCAGACACTTGAGTTGGCCATGGGCCCTGAGCCTTTACTCAGTGACCAGATGGTGACCTTGCCCACAGGAGCCCTCAGCAGAGCCACCGTCAGCTTCCTCAGTGGGGGTGAAGCTCTGCCCTTCTAGAACTCTGAGCTGTGCAAAGAGCCCAGTTCTGTGAATCCCATGGGGGAGGGATCGAGCCTGAAGACATCTGGGGGAGGATGGCCTGGCCAGTGTGTCTGATGGAGCAGCCTGAGTGGGAGGGAAGAGGTGGGCACTGCCCAACTGGGGGCAGAGTGAAACCTTGGTGGGAGTCATCAGGGACTGGCTGACAGGAAGGAGCCTTCATTAGGAGTTTGGGGCCTGGCTGGCAGGATGGGGCTGGGGAGTATAAGTGAAGTTGGTGGACAGAGAGTAGTCTTTTAAGAGCGGATGTGGTCTATGACAGGGAGAAACTCGATGGGAGCACTGGGAACCGAGGGCAAGGTCATACTTCAGTAGGAGTGACTGGGGCCAGGATGACAGGCCAGAGCAATAGCTGAGGAGGAGCAAGATGAGTGTCCTCCTGTGTGTGTGTACCTTTGATAATGGGGTCATTTGGCAGATGCCAACCAATGGGAGAGCATGGACAGGGTTCTGAGCTCCCACATTCTGCTAGTCTCGATGCCCTTGTAGGTATGGTCCCCACGGGGATAGACCATGATGGTAAAATAACTCTGAGGATGATGTCCCATGGGCAGGAACAGGGACCAGTCTTGTGGAAGACTCGTGTCATAGGTAGCCAGAGGAGGGGCCCAAACTCTAGGCTGGAGGACATCAGCCAGCGAGACCAGCGTCCATCGTGGCCCACATGTTGAGGTATCTAGTCATTCAGGCTGTAGCCTAGACTATGGAATCCTCTTGGGTCAACATGGAGGTGCGATCTGTTTTCTCAGGGGGTTTTATGAGCTGCCTCTGAAGGCCCTTCCTATAGAGATCCTGGGGTGCTCGGAGCTGTCAGCCTCCATGGAGGACTCTAGAAGGCCAGTATTCATGGGAACAGCCACAGCTGATGTCTTTGCTCAAATGTCAGACCCTGCATTGCATCTGCCCCCAGATAGGACAGTTGGGGAAACACCCACTTTTGGCAGCATCTCAGTGACACAGCACCCCACTGCTTCAAGCTCCTTGGTTTGGCCTCCTTCCTCACATGACATGATAGATGAGGTCTAGGGCAGCATGTGCTGGCAGAGTGGGACGTCGGGGAGACTCGGGCAAGGCTTGTGTGAGGACACCTGCCAGGGAGAGGTCTGATGAGTGCTGGTCTCCCCTGGGGCTTCCCAATGGCCAAGGCAGAGGCCTGGGTTCCAGCAGTGTCTGTGGTCAGACTTGCATGAGTACTTGGGTCCTAGAGGTCAGCCCTGCATGAACAGCTGGGTCCTAGAGGGCCCCTGGGAATGAGAGCCCTGGAGGCCATTTCTTTGCTGGAAACTTTTCCCTCCTTGCTGTCTTTCATTTTGAATGGTTCAAACTCAAGGCTCACCAAAAATATTTCATCCCATTTTCTTTTTTTTTTTTTTTTAAGATTTTATTTATTTATTTGAGAGGGGGAGAGAGAGAGTGAGAGAGCGAGAGAGAGCACACATGAGCAGGGGGAGGGAGAAGCAGACTCCTCCCTGCTCAGGGAGCTCCATCCCAGGACCTGGGATCATGACCTGAGCCAAAGGCAGACGCTTAACCGGCTGAGCCACCCAGACGCCGCCCCCTCCCCCCCTGCAATTTTCTTTTTTATTGGTAACTCATAATATTTTCTTTGAAATGTAAGCATCATCCCCAGAGCCTGTAACAGTGTGAAGAGCTAACAATACAGAACACAGAGAGAATTTAATCCTGTAGTTTCTTGATAATTCATGTTTTTGGGTAGGCAGTAGTACATTGAAAGTTCTGCAGTAAGACAAAACACAACAAAAAGCATGCTATGAGGAGTGTCCCTCCCTTCACCTCCTGCCTCCGGGAAAGGAAGAATGAGCGCTTTCGATGTTTCTCATGGTGCCTTCCAGAGTTCCTTTGGCAATATATATACAAAAGGAACATAAAGTCTTATTTTCTTCCTTTTTCTTACACAGGAGGTTATACGTTATACATGCTGTGCTGTAGCTGGTTTATTTTTCATGTGACGGTGTATCCCGAAGATCTTTCCATATCGGCTCACAGTGGGAGTCCTCGTTCCTTTATGTAGTCGCCCCGTATTCCACTGTGCGAGCACACCCTAACTTATTTGGCCAGCCCCTACAAATCAGTTCTTGTGTTGTTTCCAGTCTTTTGCTGCTAGAACCTTGTCCATAGATCACTTCCCATATGTGTGAGTCCAGTGGTAAAATACATTTCCAGAGGTGCAGCTGCTTTATCAAAGGAAATGTGCATTTGTGATTTTGATAGCTTTTGTCAAATTGTCTATCATGGGTGTGTGACCAGTGGGCTCCCACCAGAATTGTATGAAAGCTATTTCTCTACAGCTGTCCCGGCACAGTGCTTTACTGGCTGGTCACGTGGTGTGGTGGCGAATGTCCTGGGTGAGGGCATCAGCTCTGGGACGAAACTGTACCTTCAAGGGGTGGGGAGCTTCAGTCTAGAAGAGGCAGTGGCCCCTGGTGATTAAGACTCCCACTCAGGGGGGCGCCTGGGCAGCTTGGCCGGTTCAGCATCCAACTCTTGATTTCGGCTCAGGTCATGATCTCAGGGTCGTGGGATCGAGCCCTGAGTCGGGCTCCGTGCTGAGTGGGGAGTCTGCTTCTCCTTCTCCCTTTGCTGCCCCCCCTCCCCCCGCCACGCACTCTCTTTCTCTCTCTCTCAAATAAATAAATAAATCTTTTAAAAAAGACTCCTGGTCAACCTGAGCTCCAATCCTCAGGCAAATTACTTGACCTCTCAGGCCTCAATTTTCTCATCTGCAAAATGGGGGACATGTTATCTACCGTGGGGCCATTGTGAGTTTCGGACGAGATGACGCATGTAAAAAGGGCTTGACTCTGGAAAACTGTATGGAGGTTCCTCAAAAAGTTGAAAATAGAGCTACTATATGATCCAGCAATTGCACTACTGGGTATTTACCCCAAAGATACAAAAGTAGGGATTCGAAGGGGTACGTGCACCCCGATGTTTATAGCAGCAATGTCCACAATAGCCAAACTGTGGAAAGAGCCAAGATGTCCATCGACAGATGACTGGATAAAGAAGATGTGGTATATATATACAATGGAATATTATGCAGCCATCAAAAGGAATGAGATCTTGCCATTTGCAACGACGTGGATGGAACTGGAGGGTATTATGTTGAGTGAAATAAGTCAAACAGAGAAAGACATGTATCATATGATCTCACTGATATGAGGAATTCTTAATCGCAGGAAACAAACTGAGTGTTGTTGGAGTGGGGGGTGGGGTGGGAGGGATGGGGTGACTGGGTGATAGACACTGGGGACGGTATGTGCTCTGGTAAGCGCTGTGAATTGTGCAAGACTGTTGAATCTCAGATCTGTACCTCTGAAACAAATAATGCAATATATGTTAAGAAAAAAAAAAGAAGAAGAAGATAGCGGGAGGGGAAGAATGAAGCGGGGGAAATCGGAGGGGTGGACGAACCATGAGAGACGATGGACTCTGAAAAACAGGCTGGGGGTTCTAGAGGGGAGGGGGGTGGGAGGATGGGTTGGCCTGGTGGTGGGTATTGAGGAGGGCACGTTCTGCATGGAGCACTGGGTGTTATGCACAAACAATGAATCATGGAACACTTCATCTAGAACTAATGATGTAATGTATGGGGATTAACATAAGAATAAAAAAAAATAAAAAAAATAAAAAAAAAGGGCTTGGTATGGTGCCTGGCACATGGCTCTGGGAGGCTGGCTCTGCACTGACCGGCAGGGTGCCCTTGGCGGAGGAGCCCCTTGGCTGAGTCCCTGTCTATTTCCTCTCCTGTCAGGGGAGGAGGTCTCAGGCCCTCTTCCCAGTCTCACTGTCGGACATGCCTTTCTTCAGCACCTCATGTAACCTGCACTCCCCCTTCGTGTCTCCTGCTCATCCAAGGTATTCAGGAATCTCCAGTGCCCAACGGTCACTCACTGCCAGGCAGAGATTTCCTCCGGAAGCAGATGCGGGGAGACCTGTTCACGCAGCAGCAGCTGGAGGTGCTGGACCGCGTGTTTGAGAGGCAGCACTACTCGGACATTTTCACCACCACAGAGCCCATCAAGCCCGAGCAGGTATGCCCCACGACTCACTGCCCGCCGGACCTCCGGCCGGACGCAGGCTTGGCTTGCCCTCCCCAGGCGGTTGGCGGGGTGTGGGCGAGGATGCCAGGTTTTACTCCAAGACAGGCTTCTCGCTGTTCTCGGCCAAACTTGGATAGGTGCAGCCTCCCACAGGATCAGGAGGACTTGTCTGGGGTTCTGGTGGCTTCTTGCCTCAGTGCTTCTGTCTCCCCGGCCAGCCTGGTGGGGTGGGGGTGGGGGCGGTGGCATGACTGGTCAGGCTGCTCTGCCATTGCTGAATGGTGTCCTCGCTGAGCTTCCTCTACATGCTCATTAGATGGCACTTCTGAAGTTTTCCCACAGAACCATTCAAAGCCATGTAGGCTGTCTGCACAAGCTCCCGTGGAGGGGAAAGATGCCAGGGGGGACGTTGGGTAGTGAGGACTGAGCAAAGCCTCAAGGGCCACCATCTTATGACAGTCTGGCTGTCTGAGCAGTTCCTGTGAGGGCTTTCTCAGACCATCTAGCCACTTTGTTTTCAGATGAGGAAGCTCAGGCCCAGACAGGCAGAGAGACTTGCCTGAGGCCACACAGCAAGTCATGTATTCACTTAACAAACATTGAGGAGTATCACCTATGTGCAAAGCATGGAGCCAGGCACTAGGTACTTCAGTGAACAAGATAGGCTTGGACCTGCCCTCAGGGAGCCTACAGGTATGTGGAAGAACCACAATCAGTAAGAATAACCCGAAAGGTCATGGATTACAGATGTCCTAGGTGCTGAGGTGGGGATGTCTGAGGTTCTCTGAAAGAATAAAGCAGAGGCTGAGCCAGCCTGGAGGCCACAATGGCCTCCTGGGAGGAATGCATTTATGTTGAGCCCTGAGGTGTAGGGCAGAACCAGGAGAAGGGATGTGGAGGTGGGGAGGAGTGTGCCTGACAGAGAGAATAGCAAGTGCGAGATCTTGAGGTAAGAGGGGGCATGGCAAGAGTGAAGAATGGAAGGAGAGCCAAGAGAGCCAGCATGGCTCGGCCTCAGGGCACAGGGACGTGGGGAGAGGGGACAGTGACGTTGGGGAGATGGGCCAGGTCTTGTAGACTATGGTTAAGACTTTGGTCTTTCTCCTACAAGTGAAATCTCGTCCGGTAACAAGGTGGTCCGATGTGCTGGATGGAGCTGATCCCACACACTCTAGATCTTGAGCTTTCAGGAAAACAGTCTGTTTCCATCACAGACAGCCTTTCTGAGTAATTGCCGAAGCCACATTCCATCTGACGCAGGAGGAGAAAGAAAAGGAGACTTCCTTGGATGTGGCCTACCTTTCCCTCCAGAATCGGGGAGAAAATTTATCTTTTAACCATTGACAAGGTCACATGATTTTAGAGCTAGCAGAGACTGCAGAGGCAAGCTTTCAGCCCCCTCATCTTGTAGAGTCCCCGAGAGGGGACAGGGTTTGTCCGAGGTCACCCAGCAAGTGAGTGGTGAAGAGTGAGGGCTCAGGCCTCTACAGTCAGCCTGGCCTCTACCGCATGAAGCCTCCGGTGCTTGTGTTAAGCTCCTGTTAACTTGATGCAGATGTTCAGTGTTAGAGACTGGGTTTCGCTCCGTGTTTCACGTGATTCTCATGGAAACTCAGGTCTGCATCCTATTTCATTTAACTTGGAATGACCAGGAAATTTGCGCTTCATAATTGGTAGAAGTCCAGAAGCCATCCATGTATTTACTCACTCGCTCAGACATTCGTATGCTCATTTATCCAACATATTTCTTGCATGATGGCTATGAGGCTGGCACAGTACCAGGCACCCAAGGTGGGGAGGGATGAGTCAGGCATCAGCTCTGTCTGCCCACAGTCTCCCAGGGGCAACATGACGTGGATTCAGAACCTGCAAGGCGACGGAGAAGGTTCTGTGTTCCCTGGTGAGTGGGGAGGTTGCCTCAGTTGGGAGCATGGGGTGGGTGGGGGGAGGTGTTACAGAGGAGGCAACGTTGGGGGACAGGTCTGATAGGCTCATGTAGAGATGGGGCCTGGCGGGGAGGAGACCTGCATTACAAACCCTGCAAGGGCCCCGTTCCTACAGTCTTGCTGTGCAGTGTCCTTCAGAACGGCGCGGACGCGACCGCGGGCCTGTGTCTGTGTGGGCTCCGAGGCGGGGCCTGCGGGCGAGCGTGTGGCGGGGTAATGACTGACTCAGTGCTTTCTGGTTAATCTGCTTCACCTCCCCGTAATGGGCCGTAATGAGGAGAGATGGAAGGTGAGGCCGCGGGGCTGCCAGGCACACACACAGGCATTGGACTATGAATGACATACCCTCGCTCCCGGTTCCCAGTCACTAGACAAATGACAGCCAAAGCAAGGGGCCACAGCCCGGGAAGGGGTGCATGTCAAGGGTATGAGCCCACTCTCCGCCTGGCCTGGTGAGCCCCGGAGCAACATGGCCTGGTGATGGCACCCAGAAGAGGGCCTAGAGCTCTGGCAGCCAAGGGGGGCATCTCTTCCATATGTGAGCAGACCTGGGTCTCCATGGTCTAGTGGCCTTGGTGGGGTCTTGCTGTCAGTTTCACTGAGCAGCCTGTGGGGAAGAAAGGGCTTTTCCTGGCCTTGGGGTTGAGGGAGTTTGACTTGAGTCAAACTGAGTCCCGGCTCTGGCCTGTTGGGTGGGATGCTTTTTCTCTGGACCTCAGTTTCCACACCTGTGGCGGCAGGAACTGGGATTTTGCACAGCAGCTGCTCGACAGCAGTGGTCTTCCTCACCCATGCGTGGTACGGTGCAGTGTCCAAAGGGCTTTCACATCCATGCTCTCTCCTCCTTCGACTCGCGATTGAAATGCCCACTAAACAGTGTGGGTAAGATTGGTAGAGCCCCATTTTACAGACTGGAACATTTTTTCCCCCAGATTATTCCCCACCATGTTCAGCCCAGGGAGCTTCCAGGACTTTGTGGAGGCCGCAGAGCTGGAATTTGATTTTAAGGTCTTCTGTTCTCATCTTGTGCTGGATGGTTGCACGGGCCTTCTTATCCCTGAAAGATTCCAGGAGCGTTTTCTAACTGGCTGGTTCTCAGAACTGGCCTTCTGCAGCCAGAGTCTGTTATTCCAGAATCCTCAGAGGTTCGCCATGGGCTCGAGTGGTCAAATCCCCCTCAGTTACCCAGCCCACCCACTGGCGGGAAGAACATTCCTCTTCGGGGCCAGGTGGGGGTCCTGCCAGTCACACCCACCCCCACCTCGCCGCTCTTCCCACCAAGATCTGCACGCTGGGTGGATAGGCCGGGCTTCTTGCTTTTATATGGACACTTAGTAAACCCTTGGCCCCCGGTGTCCTGCATACACACTTCCGGAGCAAAGAAACACTTCCTTCTCAACGTGGTTATTGAAAGAGCAATTCTGTTTTCCCTCCGTGTGGAGAGAGTAAGCATCACCCTGAAGGAGAAGGGTAAAAAAGAGAAAAGAAACAGTGCTGGTGGCGTGCGTGTTCCGAACAGTGGACTCTGAGTAAAACTCGCGGTGACGCTGTTGCTGTCGACCGAGCACTGCCCCTCGCGGACGCCGCTCCCTCCTCCGGCCTCGCCAGGAAGGCCGAGGGAGCACAGCCTGCCGTATTTACTCTCGGCAGACTATTAACCAACACCAGGCTATTAATCTGGCTTTTGAGCCTTCACTAAAGCCCATAAAAGCTCACAGTTGTCAAATGGAGTTCATTTTAATTTCCTTTCAATCACAGTAAATTATTCAGGTGATAAATCAGCTGGAGCAGCCTCCTGGCTGTAATAGAAACCCTAATTCCTGGCTAATTATCCAGCCCATTGCTGCCAACAGATCAATACGGGCGCAAAATGGAACCAGCCCAGGGCCCTCCCTCCCATCGGGCCAGAGACAGAAAGACAGCTGGGGAAGGGGACGTGCTGCTGACCTCCCAGGAAGTTCAAAGGTCATGGGGGGTTAAACCGGGAGAAGGCTTGTCCCTTGTCTAAAAGAGAAAGCCACCAGAAATGCCTCCCCCTTGCTTGTGCTGCTTTGCCCTCTGAATGGTGGCATCTCTCCAGGCTGGTGGGCCTGGGCCGAGCATGGCCTGTGCCCGTGGGTGTCCTACTCCTGGGAAGGGTCTGGTTTCTGTTTTTGAGCATAATTGAGCTTGGTCATCGGGGACGGTCTGAACACCTACCTGAGTCAGAAAAAGGTCTGGGGTGGTGGGGAAAAAGATGAGGTGCGGGGCATGCTTCCTTGCTTCAAGGAGCTCATTTTCCTCTGTAGTGGGTCTGGGCCCACCAGAAGGAGGTGGGGCAGGAAGAGGAGGGAGTGAGGAGACGAGTGTGAGGTAGGCTGAGGAAGGGGGAAGGCTTCCTGGAGGAGGTGCCATTCGTGCTGTATCTTGAGGGATGAGCAGAATCCAGATCTGTGGAGATGGTGGAACTGGCTGGAGGGGCGTTCTGGGTGGAAGGAACGATGTGGGCAAAGGTATGGCAGGGAACTGGGAGCCAGTCTGGGCGGATGGGATGTAGGAGGCATGAAAGGCAGACAGGGACAGTGGGGCTGGAGAAGTAGGTGGTGAACAGACCCCAGAGGAAGGTGGAGGTGAGGAAGTCTGACTTTGCTTTGGGGGCGGTGTGCCCCGAAGAGCCCTGTGTCTGTGGCCTGGCACCACTCTGCTCACTTGGAAGCTACCTTCCCGGGGCCTCCTGCTTTTTGCCCTGGTCCCTATTGCTCCTGTTGGATCTCTCTTCCCGAAGCCCATCCTCACTTAAGAGCCCCTCACGGTTTCCCCCACTTGAGACCCCAGGCCCAGCCCTTCATCCCCTTCACGACCCTTCACCACCCGCCCCACGTCCCTCTGCTGGCCCCCAGGATGCTCTGGCTGTGGCCAGGCCTGACCTCTCACTGCCCCTCGTGCGCTGGGCTCCTCCTCCGTGCGAGGGGGCCACAGACGGCGGGCTGGCGTGTGTGTGCATGTGTGTGCGCGAGCCTGAGTGCATCAGCAGCAGGGGTGGCCGTGAGCATGCAGGGTGGCAGG